TGCCTTGGCATTCCCACGTGGCAATGGGAATACTGCCTATTACTTACCTCTTCCTGCAGCACCCGCTGGTCTCACTCCAAGCACGGTCTCGGAGCTGACAAGCGCCCCTCCCCTCACACAGCAGACTGGTCTGAAAACATTAGAGATGCCGGCTGCTGCAAGTCAGAACCTTTTAAGGTTCTTAGTTAACCCCTTGGTCCCTAACCACTGGGAACATGACATCACACATGCACGTTCCACTGTCACATGCTCCTCTACAACCAATCAAAGAGCACCTTAGGCTATTTAAACCTTTTTTGTCCATTTCTCAGTGCTCTGTCATGGTTTCCATTGTGGTTATCCAACAGCGCGTTTCTGATTTTATTGATTCTTGTGTATTTTGACCCAGGCTTGTTTATTGACTTTTCAGATTTCTGTATCCTTTGGACTTTGGTGTGTTTCCTGATTATTCTGACTTCTTTATTCCTTAACCTTTGGCTTGCCTACTGTTTACACATACTCTGTATTCCTGACCTTAGCCTGTCTTGTACTTTTCTTTTTATTTGTTTAATACGCCTTAGGGTTCTCTTTAACCCCTTAAGGACACATGACATGTGTGACATGTCATGATTCCCTTTTATTCCAGAAGTTTGGTCCTTAAGGGGTTAATATTTTACTTAAGTTCTGCTTGTTGGGCATATTAGTGTATCCTGATACTGAGACACAGTACACATTTATATATTTTTTTTTACCACCATTAATAGAAAGAATAGTATTGAAACTTCTCTGAACAGTATGGGAAGAAAAACAAACTTCGCCGGAGTGAGACCACTACATCTTCCAAAGATATTGGCACGTAACTCTAAATAATCCTGCAGTCGCGGCCTGTCAAGATGGTACCTGCATGAAAAAACTCCAACTGCACTTCGGATGGAAGTGACCCAGATAATGGGCATGGGAATACCCAGACAAGCACCATTACAAGCCTGAAAAATTGCCGGCATGCAAATCTGACATCTACAATCTTCTCATGGAGTTGAAAGCCCTTTTTGCTGCCAATATTGCGCTCGTTTGGGAGGGTGGCTCAGATGCAGGCTATGGAAGAGGATGGCAGTTATATTAAAAAAGGCAAAACACGAAGATTTACGGATTGAGATATATCAGCTTAAATAAACAAGCCTGATAATGGAGGGCAAGTTGGCAGCACTGGAGGACTCTTGGCATCAGTGCAACCTGAGAATTAGAGGTGTCTCTGAAGAGGTACTGGACAATGAAGTCCCTCACTACTTTAGGCGGCTGCTGACCTCCACGTTCTAACCGCTAAAGTCAAAACCATTCTCCTTGAATATTTACAAGTTGGAGGGAGCTGACCTATTCTTTTTCAACGACCTCTCTAGGTCCACTATATCGTGATGACAGTCCTTGAAACTGGTGACACAGCTCCTGAGGCATAATGAAATTCCATATCAATGGAGCTTGGGCCACAAGCTTTTTGTGCTCCATGAGGGGAAGCAAATTTACATGTTGCATTTGTCCGATTTAGAGAAATGTCTTACGTTCCTGGGTTTATCATTTCTGTTGTGTATGCCAGACCTGCATTGGATCTAGTCCCCACCACTTCCTCACTAAGCTATGGGATGTGCACAAAATTAAGGGACTGCTGAACTTGACTGATACTTGAGCTGAGCACAGCAACATGGTGGTTCTCCACTGGTCTAGACCAGCTACTCTTAAAAAAAATGCAATTTAAGGTTCATAATTTCTCTGACAGTTTGTCTTGGTTTCTTTTTATGTCATTTGCCAGCTATTACTGTCATTTGTTTTTATGAGTTGCACCTAAAATGTAGCAAAATGTGCATTTTATCATCTGTATGAACCTATTGTGCTACAATAAAAATGATAAGTGATAAAAATGAAAAAAATAAAAGGCTGAGCTAGAACTTCCCCAGAACTGATTCAGGTTTTTTTGGTTTTTTTTAAGCTAAGCAATTTTGTCCTAGACTTGGTTGCCAGTTCATCACAACTATTTAGAAAATAAACTGCATAGGATTCAATATGAGAAGTCTCTTACATGAAGTCTTATGCCTATCTTGTCAATATAACACTAAAATTTATGTGTTTTATACTCTATATATCAGGGAGATCTGATTCTAATATTATATGCGCAGCAGAGCCAAGAACTTGGAGTGCACAGAAACATGTGTCTGTTTTCTGCCTAGTACGACCTATTTGTCTTCCTTGCTTTTTGGCATTTTTTCCATGACTCATAATAAAAGGATTGTGTTCCCCGTGGAAATTGCTGTAAAGGTGGGCTGGTTAAATGAACCCAAAAAAAAATTATTATAAAAATGTGACAGTTTGAAAAATATTATGTTTTCCGGGCATGCTATAATCAGATTTTTGATGAAAGAAGAACTATATAAAGTTCACTCTAAGATTGTGGGAGTAGGCTTCCAAAGACGCAGAAGGCTGCCTTTATCTTTATTTTAAAGCACAAAAAGCTCTTTTGAGAGCTGTGTCAATGAGAAGAATTCTGTAAGATCCAACTAGAAAGGAGCTATTAAAGCCTACCTCTTGTCCATCCTCTCTGCTATTTTCAAACCCAATATAAACCTTTAATTCACAGCCCTGACTTGCATACAATAGTCTTATGCCACCGTTATTCAAAACTCTGTGCCTACTAAGTGATGTGACAGCAGTCTGTCTCTCAGACTATCATATTATATAGTACTCTAGTCCACTGGTTAAAACAATATGCCGATATGAAAACAGAATATAACACACAATAATACAATACATAGTACATAATTTTTTTAATTTTTTTTTTATAAAGTAGCTATATTGTGAGTATAGTGTGATTATATGGTATGTATTATTTTGCTAATATGTGTGGAAGTGAAAATTAATCAATAAAACAAAGTGCATAAAAAGTCATTTTTTTCCTGAATAAATTGTAAATCTAAAGGTCTGGAAATTGAAATTCATTTAATTCCAATTATGTAGACCGAAAATGCAAGCAAAAAAAAAAAGTTACATTTAACAACTTCGCTACTGAGTACTTTTTGGTTGAAAAAAATATTAGCATTATAGGTTTTTGAAACAAGGTATGCATAGCCAACATATAAGCATATTATAACACAGCAAATGTGTGTATATATCGAAATAAAACAAAAAGTTATGTAACTGAATTAAATAAGATTAGAAAAAAATACAAATAAATGTTCATAATAACCAAAAATGACAAAACATATTAATATATAGTATAATATTGTAGGTTATGCTTTGATAGAAATACTTTATGTTAAACACTCACAATATTAACAGCCAATCTAATCTGGCTATGAAATTAGGGTGCCTGGCGTTTTAATTGAAGTCCACCACAACTTTTGACCTTCAGGAATATACTCCTGTGAAAATACTCCTCAAATAAAATGCACAGAGATTCC